ATTAATGAATTAAGAGGGTGATAAAAAACCCCATAAAAGAAATTTAAAATAAATGGGGAATGTCTCCATGGGACACAGCTTGCATATAACATAACTCAAGAACGGTAAAAGTGACGCTACCAAAAGTTGTACTTGATCTGTGTTTTGTAGTAATAAGCTTTGTGTATAAGATTCATAACATTTGGTTGAGATAAACTTAAGTTAGAGAACAGCGGAAACGAAAATTTCAGCAATTTTTCCATTTTTAAAAGGGCATAACTCTAAAAAGGCAAAAGTTACCCAAATTCATACTTGATCTGTGTTTTGTGGTAATAAGCATTGTGTATAAGTTTCATAACATTTGGTTGAGGCTAATTAAAGTAATGGAACGGAAACCAATTTCGGGACGTAGGATGGACGGACGGACATACAGACGGACAAGGGTAAAACTTAATGCCCCCTCCGCTAGGACAGGGGCATAAAACATCGTTGTAGAGGGGAAATAACTCTTCATGATGTTAACACAAACAGAGGTATAGTTTGCTTACTTTTTTTTAATTTGAAAAGCTGTGTAAAGGGTTATATATTTCATTTACTGCATTAACATAAATGACGTGATTATCAATTTTAAATTAATCTAAATTTGGGCTGATATAAATTCCTACTACAAGGACTTCAACTGGACTCATTTCAAACTTCAACATGTAAATTAAAATGCTCTGATAGGTGAAGCTTGATACGACCGCAGAGGTCGAACCCTGAACAGTTGGGCTACATTCAAGCTTGATACAGCTCTGAATTTGGATTAAATATTTGACACAGCCTAGGTTTCATAGTTTAATTTTGGAACTTAATGTGGACTAATTTGAAAACAGGCCCAAAATAAATATACTGCTTTGCTGAGCTCAGCTGGATACGCCCGCAGAGGTCCAACCCTAAACAGTTGGGGCAAAAATGGACACAATATTCAAGCTTGATACAGGTCTGAATTTGGATTGTATTAAATATTTGACATATTATAGGTTTCTGAATAAATGTAGTCAAAGAACTTGAAATTGGTTATATCAATTGAATTTATATTCAATTAAAGATTTCTTGCTGTTGTGCAATACACTGTGCTGTTGCGCAATACTTAGTAAATCTGTTGTCAGACTGTAAACAATTAAAGTTCAATTAATTCTCAAAGTCATATTAGAAATTTATTACAATGTAAAGTGAGCTTACATCAATAGATATAAACAATTCACCAAAGTTTCATGAGAATTGCTGACAGCATTTTTGAGTTATTGTCCGAAAACTGGAAAATCCCCCCTTTTTTAATGAATAAAACCCCCATAACTCAGAAATGTAAAATGTAAAATTTATAAAATTATAAACGGAGCTTACATCAATAGATATAAACAATTCACCAAAGTTTCATAAGAACTGCTGAAAGCATTTTTGATTTTTTGTCTGAAAACTGGAAAATCCCCCTTTTTTATGAATAAAACCCTGTAACTCGGAAACGTAAAATCTAAAATATATAAAAATAAAAAGGGAGCTCATGTCAATAGATATAAACAATTCACCACAATTTCTTGCAAGTTGGTAAAAGCATTCTTGAGTTATTGTCCGAAAACTGGAAAATCCCCCTTTTTTTAATGAATAAAACCCATAACTCGGAAACGTAAAATCTAAAATTTATAAAAAACGAAAGGGAGCTCATGTCAATAGATATAAACAATTCACCAAAGTTTTATGCAAATTGGTTTAAGCGTTTTTGAGTTTATGTCCGACATGTTGACGACGGACGGACAGACGGACAACGGTATACCATAATACGTCCCGTAAACGGGCGTATAAAAATCTAAATACACGGTTAGCAAAATGGTTAGATTCAGCATATCAAAGAACCCCAAGAATTCAATCTTTGTTGAAATCAAACAAAGTTTAATTTTGGACCCTTTGGACCTCAATGAGGACCAATTTAAAAACGGGGCCCAAAAATCATAAATCTAAATATATGGTTAGATTCATCAAATTAAAGAACCCCAAGACTTTGAACTAAACCCCATTGAAATTGGTCAAGAAATAAGTAATTTATACAAAGTATTAGAAAAGTATTGTTTTTTGCCCCTTTTTCCTAAACAGATAGGACCATAACCCCCAAAATCAATCCCAACCTTCCATTTGAGGTATGGAACCTTGCACAATTTCATAGAGATCCATACACCTTTATTATTATTGTTATTGTCCTGAAACAAGAAGAATGCTCGTTTTTAGCCCCTTTTAGCCCCTTAATTCCTAAACAGTAAGGACAATCAACCCCAAATCAATCCCATCCTTCCTTTTGTGGTATGGAACCTTGTGGTATAATTTCATTGAGATCTATGGACCTTTACTCAAGTTATTGTCTGGAAACCAAATGTCTTCAGACAACAACGCTGACAACGCCATAACATTATATGACCGCAATAATTTTGCTTGTATAAAAAATAAACAGATTTTTTAGGCCATTGACATTATCTGAAGTAGTTTCGAAGCATTAAACAATCTCTATGAAAATCAAATATAAATAAATAAAGAATGTGTCCATGGGACACAGATGCCCCCTACAAATTCTGCAATTTTTGTCGCAGAAAGCTCGACATAGGGATAGTGATCCGGTGGCGGCGGCTACGGCGGCGTTAGCTAACTTCTTAAAAGCTTTATATTTTAGAAGGTGGAAGACCTGGATGCTTCATACTTTGTATATGGATGCCTCATGTTACGAAGTTTCCGTCAGTCACATGTCCAATGTCCTTGACCTCATTTTCATGGTTCAGTGACTACTTGAAAAAAAAGTTAACATTTTTTGTAATGTTAAATTCTCTCTTATTATAAGTAGTAGGATAACTATATTTGGTATGTGCGTACCTTGCAAAGTCCTCATGCCCGTCAGACAGTTTTCACTTGACCTCGACCTGGTTTCATGGATCAGTGAACAAGGTTAAGTTTTGGTGGTCAAGTCCATATCTCAGATACTATAAGCAATAGGTCTAGTATATTCGGTGTATGGAAGGACTGTAAGGTGTACATGTCCAACTGGCAGGTGTCAACTGGCCTTGGCCTCATTTTCATGGTTCAGTGGTTATAGTTAAGTTTTTGTGTTTTGGTCTGTTTTTCTTATACTGTATGCAATAGGTCTACTATATTTGGTGTATGGAATGATTGTAAGGTGTACATGTCTAGCTGGCAGGTGCCATCTGACCTTGACCTCGTTTTCATGGTTCAGTGGTCAAAGTTGAGTTTTGGTCTTTTTTTCTAATACTATATGCAATAGGTCAACTATATTTGGTGTATGGAAATATTTTATGATCTATATGTCAGTCGCCCAGGTTTTATATGACCTTGACCTCATTTTCACGGTTCATTGCTCAGTGTTAAGTTTTTGTGTTTTGGTCTGTTTTTCTTAAACTATAAGCAATAGGTCAACTATATTTGTTATATGGAAGAATTATTAACTGTACATGTCTTCCTGGCATGGTTCATCTGACCTTGACCTCATTTTCATGGTTCATTGGTCAATGTTTAGTTTTCTTGGTTAATGTTAAGTTTATGTGACAGTTGTAATTAAGCTTTATATTTAGGACTATCAACATAATATCAATGATTAGTAAAGAAGGCGAGACATTCCAGCGTGTGCACTCTTGTTAATTTACAAAGAGATATAAAAAAAAAAATGACGCCACCCAAATTCTAACTTGATCTGTGTTTGGTGGTAATAAGCATTGTGTATAAGTTTCATAACATTTGGTTGAGGCAAACTCAAGTTAGAGAACGGAAACCAATTTTGGGACGTACGTATGTATGTACAGACGGACAAGGGTAAAACTTAATACCCCCTCCGCTAGGGCGCGGCATAAAAAATATATACATATATTAAAATATATTTCTTATATAATAAGGCAATCTGGCGCAATACCCGCAAGGGTAGTCGCCATTAAACTCTATTTACTAGTAGTTAAAGCTCAGTTCATTTTAAGCAAGGTATATTTGGCTGAGAATGGTTTGTCAAATAAAATCTATTTGATGTGAAGATGAATTATCTCTAATTGTTTTTACAACTGAGTACTATTTTCAAGATAAAACTATCAGAATGGTGAAGTGATTATTTCTCAATGAATGATATTTTTTGCTAAAACTGTAATCACATTTTTTATTTACTAATCTTTTAAATTTTAACTTTGGTAAAAAAAGTTTAATAGTATTAACAAATTTGGCAATAAAGCAAAAATGTATAAGGGTGAGTATTTTTCATGATCAGTACCACAGCGATCTTACATCCCAAGTCCTTTGTTCTAACAGGGGTGATCTGAGTCGGATAACCCCTTCCAGATCACCCTACCTTGAGTTTCTTTGTTCTGCATGCTTTCCTTTGTTCTGTAACATTTTTGTGGGAATGTTGAACACACAATAAAACTTAGAAATATTTATTCAGAATAAAGACTATCTTTCAAAATTTATGTAGAAAAAATCCACTAAAATTCCAGTGTCTATGCCGGGAATCGAACTCAAGACCTTGAGCATGTGATGCCACGATTCATACCCCTACACCAGGACGACTGGGTACAAACTCACATTGTTTCAATGGCTGGAACAAAATATAATGATCAATAATCATGACATTTTGTCCTGGGGGATATTTTTTTTATAGGACAATATTTTGCTTTAGTACATAAACACTGTAAGCATCAGTCATACATTTTCATGTGTTTTCACTTTGTAAACTTGCATGACTTACAAGGCCATCACTGTTACTTGGAATCTGATGTCTATCGACAATAATTTATTTCCAAAATGTATCTACCCCAATGGACATTAACTGCCAAATTGTTGAATTCCAAACCAACCTATCACTTCTGGTTTAACTTTTAGAGGTGAAGGATATGAGGGAGGGACAAGGCAATTACAATATAACCCCTACTTCTAGAGTCAAATGAACTTAACTAGTATAATCCTGCACAAAAGAAAGTTTTCTTCAGAAAATATTAAACACAACGTAAAATTCAATCAATTTATTTACAATTTTCATAAATAATTCATACAATTATACAAAAGTTTATTGCACTAAATCTGCTTCTTTGAGAAAATAAAAACTAACTAAAGTAAATTATGCATACCTTACTTAACACATTAAAGGTCAAAAGTAAACGAAAAATAACCATTTCATTTCTCAAATAATCAATTTATTTACCTTCAGAAAAATAGGATAGCATGTTTTCTCTTTAGCGTCTAAAAAATGTAGAAGTACATCTGAATGGTATAATACATGTATTATTATATAACAATATTGAATTGTATAATACATGTATTATTATATAACAATATTGAATTGTATAATACATGTATTATTATATAACAATATTGAATGGTATAATACATGTATTATTATATAACAATATTGAATGGTATAATACATGTATTATTATATAACAATATTGAATGGTATAATACATGTATTATTATATAACAATATTGAATGGTATAATACATGTATTATTATATAACAATATTGAATTGTATAATACATGATTCTGTGTTGGTTGCTTAATGTCCTGTGACTCATTTCACAAAAAATCTTACAAGAAAACATACTTGTAAGTCATGAACATTTCAGTATAACTTACAATCAATTTCGATCATTAGATGTTTTGTGAAAAGACCCCCAGTGTTGAATATTACAACAATGTGTACTGATGATAATGATACTACTAAGAACAATAGTGTATTTCTAGATTTACTTAACAATAGTAACTAATATCTTATAATAAAGCCTTTAACAAACTTTTTTTATGAAGATGCTGGTCTCAGAAAATACTTCAATATTAGATGACACAAGGGAAGATCTAATATGTAATTTTTGAACAACATACGGTACCTTGAAGAAAGTTAAATCTTCTATAAATATGGAGCATATAAAAGTGTTCATAAGAAATCAGTTTTGGTAAGAAATAACCTCATGGAAGTGAAGATATATGAATGATTTTTCACTTTGGCTTAAGTATTATATTATAAGTACTGAATAAAAAATACAACAAAGTGATAACTGAACAGGAATTCCTGTTCATTCAAATCTTGTTTCTGAAGCTCTCCATCAAATGTCAAAAAAGGACTGAAAATATCATCCAGTACATTTTTGTATTTTCATTTCACTATGTAAAAGTTTCCAATCAATTACAACAATGATCACAGACATCTTCACAACATTAAGTTCCTTAAAAAATCACATGGATACTGGACAGCTCATTCCGAGCGATTTTTAATATAGTTGGTCCTTCTAAATATCACATTTTTAATTCTATCATACATTTGAATCATTATATATGAAAACTTGAGCTAGTTCATCATGTTCATAAGTCCTTTTCAGGAAATTATCTGTTAACCGCAATCCTGATATTGTCTGAAAAAAGAGAATATTTGGATATTTTAATATAAAGTACCTAGAAGGTAAATTTATGTCTTCTTTGGTAACCTTTGAAAGTAACTTGAATGCCATATTTTGTACTCTAGCTTTTATTTGATTATTGAAAATATGTTTCATAATTTTTGTTAGGAGTGATACCATGATATGTTCAACTCCACAATTTAAAATAAACTGTTAACACAGAGATATGTCTCGCCTATTTGTTATTTTGATAATGCAAATGTTGAAATTAAAATAGCAATACTTTAACATGTAAGTTATGCAAATATTCAAAGTCAATGAACCATGACTGAAGGTACAGGGCTAAACAATCTCCATGGAAATGAGATGTGCCAATGCTAATACAACTGCATACCAAATACCATTGACTTTTCATAAGTCGTTCCCTTTAAACAAACCTTAACACAAACATTAACTTGTAAACTATGTAAAAGTTTCAAAGTCAATGAACCATAATGAGGGGGTGGGGTTATATAATCTCAATGGAAATGAAACCTGCAAATGCCAATACATTTGCATACAAAATATCATTGACTTAACATTAGTGGTTCATCTTAAACAGACCTAATCACAAACTAATACATATGTAAACTAAGCAAAAGTTTCAAAGTCAATAGACCATGACCGAGGGGGCAGGGCCAAATATTCTCAATGGAAATGAGATATGCCAATGCTTATACAACTGCATACCAAATATCATTGACCTACCACTAGTGGTTCCCCATAAACTGACCTAATCACAAACTAATACATAGATCTACAAAGATATCGGAGTCAATAAATACATGCCTCCTAAAACTTATATGCAGTAAATTAAGCATGAAATATAGGTCACCACAACCTTCTTTGGTGTTAAGCAGTCAGACAAGATGTGTCCTCATATGAAGTAACATAATTGCAGATTACTTAGTATCCCATAAATGAACTAAACTCAATGATATGTTATAATCCTTTACCAATTCAGGGGCAGATCCAGCCATTTTTAAAAGGAGGGGGGGTTCCAATCATATGTCCCATTCAAAAGCATAGATCGTCAAAAAAAAAGGAGGTTCCAACCCCCGGAAACCCCCTCCCTCTGGATACGCCACTGCAATTAAATTACATATATGTAGGTCACATAATATTCAATGAATGAGGTCTGAAACTTTAACAAAAAAATTTGTAATGGGTTCCGCAGAATCCTGTGTCTTGCCTGCGATTGCTGCTGTCAGTGCTAAAAGTGTAATGTTGACTTAAAAAGTGAGTCCATTTATCAGTAAAATACAGATTGTTAAAAAGATCCAAACTTTCTCTTTAGATGCTATTTCTTGGTCTTGTTTCTAAGCTTCTGTCAAAGTTTCATAACAATCCATGAAGGTTATCAAACTTATCAAAGCAAAAAAAAATAATTCCAGACTGTCAGTAAATGTTAACTGTCAAAAAAGTCCATCTATCAGAAAATACTGAAAATAAAAACAAATTTTCAAAAGTGTGCTTCAGACATTATCTCTTAATCATTAAAAAGTTTCATAAAATTTAATGAATATATTTTCACAATTTTGCTCTGGATACTGTATTTTGGTCATAAACAAGCTTCTGTCCAAATTTCATCTACCGGTAATTCCTTGTAGTTTTGACAAAGTTATTGATGTCCAAAAAACTTTAACCACAGACTGAACCTAAATGTTGAGGCTGCTCATGCAGCCAACGGAATCTAAGATCGCTATGTCTCCCTTTCGAGAAAAAAATTTCGCAGGCTCAACAAAAATGGAGAATGGACACAGATGATGCCCCTGCTTGCATAAAACATTATAAAGGGGCATAACTCAAGAATGGTAAATGTGACGCCACCCAAATTGTAACTTGATCTGTATTTTGTGGTAATAAGAATTGTGTATAAGTCATAACATTTGGTTGTGGCAAACTAAAGTTAGAGAACGGAAACCAATTTTGGGAAGTACGTATGAACGGACAAGGGTAACACTTAAAGCCCCCTCTGGTGATGGCAGGGGGATAACAAACTTATATATAAAATATAAGCAATGCTACTGACTATGGCAAACAAAGCAATGAGCTTATCCTTTATTCTGTTGGTAGGTTGCTCTCTCATTGATGTATACTAAACACAATATTTTATTGAGATACTAACGATCTTAAAATTTATCAAATTTACCTGTAGACCTGGAATGGTTGCTATGACATTTAATTTTAGATCCATATTTTCATTGGGAGGTAACTTTCCCAGCTGTCTTCCAGATATACCAACCCACACCACTCCAGTACTCTGGTTGTTCTGCAGTACTAATGTCAAATCCATTGTTCTCTCACTGAAAATAAATCAATCTTAGTTTTAAAATAATTATATGAATAAGAAGCTGCAGTCTTTCTTACACTTTTTCACATTAGATTCTATGCAAAACAAAATGAACCGCGAGCTATTGCCACCTAATGATATTTTCACTTTAAGAAATAGTAAACTGGAAGATGACGAAAAATGGATGTTAAAACTACCCTAACAGTAAAGCATGCTCACATGAGCATGATTCTGAGTTCAGGAAGCTCTGAATCAAGTAGTTCCTGAAAAATATGCCATGAAAATTTTATACATGGCCATTATGTTTAAGAATATATAAGTATATTATAAAACAAGAAATAATTAGCAGTAGATGTGAAAATGCCTCATTATCAATAGCATGCTCACATAAAGCTTAATACCAAATTTCAGGTAACTCTGATTTGTAGTTCTTGTAAAAATGCAATAAAAACATCATAATAGCATTTTCAACTGGTTAAAAATGGTCAGACAAATATTTACTGGTAATCAAAATCTTGCTCTCTATCCTTTTTCTTTTTAGAGCCAAATATCCATAATTACCAACATCTGGTCACCTTATTCTGTTTAATTGCTAAAAGGTTTTTTTTTTCATGATTTATTTTAAGTAACTGCTGGAAACATAGGATGAAATTTTGAAATTGGACTTCTTAAGGATGAATGTGGTCAATATTGGTTCTGAATGACCCCCTTTTTTCAAGGAGTACAGTAAACAAAGTGAAACAGTTAACACCAGACACCAAGTTATCATCATATTAGCCCACATTTATAAAGTTGGCAAAAACTACTTTTTAAAATAAACTGGAGAGAAAATATCACAGGGATAGTTTTGATATTTTATGTTAATTTGTTCCACCTAACAGAAGTTCTCCAGAAACTTTGTTCCACCTAACAGAAGTTCCCCTGGAAACTTTGTTATAAACAATGCAATAATATCTGTTTCTGTTAGAACAAATGTTCTATACCCTTTATTTCATAAGAAAGTAAGTAATTTCAGTGGAAAAAATATCAAGGAATATTTCTTCCACTTAGAAGTTATATTATGAAGGAACTTCTATTTCATGACAAATTTTCTCCTAAAAAAGTTTACTATTTGTTAATCTAAATGCAATTTTTACTAAAAATAAATTAAATATACACACATGATAGGAGAAAGGTTATATCAGTTCGATACTTTTAGTTTATATTAGACTTAAACTGTGACACTGAAGATTTGTATTAAAAATATAGTACCAGCAATTGGTTATTCGACAAACAACTTCAAACGTATTTTCTAACAACACTGTATCAGGAACCTTTTCAACTGTAACTCTTATATCACCATAGCCTGGAGCCTTAAAAAAACGAAAATATAATTATATGCAAATTCTTTACAACCACTTATGATGAATACATGCCTAATATTCAGTGGCAGCTATTACATGCATTTTCAGAATTACAGGCTGATGTCATATAATGTGAAGTTTCAGGGATCTGGGTTGAAAACTGTAGGAGTTGATAACATAAATGAAGTATCCACTTTTCCCAACCCCTCGACATCACAATACTATATGCCAGCATTGGACTTCATCCAACCCAGCCCATTTTTTAAGAATCCAAAATAATTTTAACATGAAAAATAACAGTAACTTTTTTTTTTTGCAAGACAAAATATTTAAGAATAGGTTCTTCAGTAAATCTCCTCCTTTGTTAATCATAAAAACATCTCCCTTGTTAAGTTTGGAAAAGTTGACAAACCAATTAAATTCTGGAATTCAAAACATTCCAATTACAATAATTGATATTTGTGTTTATATTTATGTAAATATGTTTCAATATTAATTGCTCAAATAACAATCTTTTTTTCTTAATAACCTGTTCCACTAATAAAAATTCCACTAGATTACACAATAAGTTGATATATGAAGGCATTACCTAGATCAATCATTAAAAGCCATTTTGATGAGTTCTATCCTTGTCCTATATTGGTTTCTGTTATAACTATTGGTTTTGTTCAAAAGGAATCCTTATCTCATTAAAGATTTTTTATCATATCTGTTCAATTATTGGAATTTTGCTTGTTATCAATCACAGTTCCTTTCTTCTGGAACAATCTCATAACTTTTCAAGGATGAAGTCTTGACATTCCCATGCTCTTAATAACAAGTGTTGACCATAAATACTCAGAAAACAAATAATATCATTTTTGTATGTCTTATATCACATTATTTGTATAATTTATCAACAAATTTGACATTTCCCAATTTTTCCCCAGGCTTTACCACAATTTCAGTACCTTTCTGAAACCTTATCAAAGATACTACTAAAAGTAATTTGGGCTATTATTTACTTTAGGGGACACTGACCAAATCGGGCTGGACCCTTTTACATTGCTAGCCCTTACCCTTACTCTATCCTTAACCATATCTTTTTTGCTGACCTTTACCAAACCAATCCCTAAAATATCCTAAACCCTTAACCTGAATATTAGTTGCGGAATCCTCTTTAGTATAATAGGTTGTAAACCATTTTACTTATATCCCTTAATATGAGTGAAAGGTGCCAAGTCCCCTTCAGTATAATACAGTTGTAAACCATTTTACTTATATCCTAAACCCTTAACCTATATATATTGTTAAAGACAAAACTGTTTTACTTACAACCTAAATCCTTAACAATAAGTTAAAGGTCCTCAGTCCCCTTCAGTGAAGGTGCCGAGTCCCTTTGAGCACAATAGGTTGTAAACTGTTTTCCTTACCGGTATATGCTAAACCCTTATCCTTAATATGAGTGAAAGGTGCAGAGTACCCGTCAGTATAATAAGGTTGTAAACCTTTTACTTACATCCTAAACCCTTAACCTAAGTATGCATGGAAAGTACCAAGTCCCCTTTGGTACAATAAGGCTGTAAACCATATTACCTATTTCCTTAACCCTTAACCTAAATATTAGTGAAAGGTTTCAAGTCCCCTTCAGTACAATAAGGTCGTAAACCATAATACTTATATTCTAAAACCCTTAACCTAAACTGAAGTTAAAATTGCTGAGTCCTCTTCAGTACAGTAGATCGTAAATCATTTTAGTTATATCCTAAACCTAACCTAAATATTAGTTAAAGATGCTGAGTCCCCTTCAGTTCATTAAGGATGTAAACCATTTTACTTATATCCTTAACCCTTAACCTACATATAAGTGAAAGGTGCCGAGTCCCCTTCAGTACAATAAAGTTGTAAACCGTTTTACTTATATGCTAAACCCTTAACCTAAATATTTGTTAAAGATGCCAAGTCCCCTTCAGTAAAATAAGGTTGTAAACCTTTACTTATATCCTAAACCCTTAACCTAAACAGAGTAAAAAATGCAGAGTCCCTTCAGTAAAATAAGGTCATAAACAGTTTTATTTACTTACTAAAATGTAATTACCAATACTGATATTTTGAAACCTACCACTCTCTGTAACTGACTAGTCTGTAATCTTCCTCTCTCTCCCATATTAGTTTTCCACACAATATCTAATTTACCGATATTTGTCACACCTTTCAGCACTTTCAGTTCTTTGATTACTTCTGGTTTGGGTGTCAGACAATATAAATACTGTCTGGTGTCCATGGCATTCAGATAATTTACTTTACCGAACACCATATCTGGTCTGAAATCATAAACACTAGTATAACACATCAGATAACAAGAGAATGATCTACTGAATGGTTTGAAGGAACATAAGTGTCTACTACATTCAGTCCTTGTGGATTTAGACAGTACATAATAACAATGAGATTTCTAATGACATATCTATTACTGAATAACAATTTATTTGCTGGATGACAGTAAAATGAGAATATATTTGCTAGATGAAAATCAGTAATTAAATGTGACAAATGTTTCCATTGCATGCTGGGAAGATTTTCCTGCAGTTTAATTTTACAGGATGATACTTGGACCATGTTCATTTTGGTTTTAAAATTATTTTGCTCAAAACTTTTTCATTTTTAACTCTTCAACCTCTCAGAAAATTTAAAGGACTAAAATAAAACTTTCCCTATTAACTTTAAGATTATCATGGGAATTATTTTAGAATATGGTCTAGGGTTAAAATTATGGATAACAGGCAAATCTTTCAAATAAAATGGGCAGGCTCGTATCCAGGATTTCTCTAAGAAGGGGGGAGGGGAGGGTATTTGGGTTCATGAAGCTCTGACGTTTTAAATAGTCAAAATTCAGTCTGAATTAAAACTTTAATAGTCTTTAATACTATTTTTTGTTTGGAGGTTGGGGGATTCTTCTAAACCCTCTAAGCCACCTGCCACCAAAATTCACCCTGAAAGCAGCATTTTGAAGGGAAGAGAACAATAATTTATAGACAAATGTATTATGTTTTCATATGATCTAAGTTACATTTTGAGGAAGAAGGCTACAAATAGCAAAAAGTATGATTATAGCACTTTATGAATTAGTAAGAACTTGGAACAGGCACATAAAGTATGAAGTTTGGTAAAGTTCTTAAGCCTACTAATATATCAGAAAATAAGAAACAGAATTTATGAATGGATATATATTCTTTTAACCAGCCTGTTTCACAGGGAGCACAAATAATTTCAGAATATTTGCTGAAGATCTGTATTACCTATGCACCATGTGAATGAACCAATTTAACCTTACCCCTTCCTAGCAATAACAAGTAGTCAATGAAAATAACTACAGCAACACTGATTCTTACTAGAAGAATACAAACACATGTTTCAGTTTTCAGATAAAGGTATCTAAATATGGCATATTAAATAACAGAACTTTGAAGTGAAGTTAGTGCTATATCATAAAATTAATTATTATCACATAGGTATTAACACCAAACAAATTTAATAATTAGAAACACTCTACCATGAAAGAATTTTAATGTCTATTAAATCTGCACTGGTTATTAAATATGGCAAGTTCAAGGCAATAAGAATTCATAATTAGCTGGTTAGACAATACAACAATCAACAATGAACATGTTTTCTGGCTGACCAATAAAAGTCTCTTTACACCTATACCCAAAATAGTTTTTATTTTGTAATAAATTAATTTGAACAATAACCACAAAACAGATGATAAAACTTAATAATTAATGTACCACATTTTCTACTTAGTATCAAACAGCTCTGCAATATATATCATGTGATTTCTTATTGCAGATCAATCAACTACCATATGCACAAATTTGAAGTAGGAATAGTCACAATATTATTACTAGTACTAAAATATAAATGTAAAGCCTTTTTACAAAATTTATGCTTTTTTAAATAGAAATCAAAATTTAAAGGTACATAACTTAAAACCAGGTCACCCAATACAGTTTGATCAAACAGAATGATGGTGGCCGTCTCCAAATGACAATAAATAATGTGCAGCAAACATTGCATTTGTTCCATCTTAATAATGTATCACTTCATACTAAGATGTCTACTACATGTACTTATAACTCTCTCAATATGGTCTGCATGAAGTTTATACTGGACAATCATGTCTATGAGTTATTCTCCATCTGACATTGTACACAGTCACTGGTCATGCCTGCTAGACTATTTAGAGGGCCTACTGACTTACATTTTACACGGTTGATCAGGTTAAATTGAATAAGATTTTTATGTCTGGTAAAGAAAACTTTGTATAAATCACATACACTTCTTTTCCGTCCAATGTGTTGAGTTCTTCGGCATTATACTGTGCAGAAGGGTCTAAAGTAACACGCTCCATGTAGACTGGGTTTGGTGTTATATTCTGAATCTGAGCCTCTAAAAACACCTCATCTGACTGTCAAAATACAAAAATAGCAATTAAATTGTAAAACTTTAAAATTCATTATAAATTCTACGATCTTTAATTCTCACAAAGGTTATATGTTGGATATGCTGGAATAACAAATTATGTTTAGCAGGAACAAAGGTGATTTTTTTTACTTTGTTGGGTACTACATGTAATATGACTTGGCAGTGATTATCTGCAACCTAATACTTGTTTGATAGTGCTTTATACTTATGCAAATTATTCCAAATGACAACTTAGTTTACTTGCAAATGCAATTCTATCAAAATTTTACCAGAAGCTATTTAAAAAATTATTTGGAAAAAAAAAAACTTTAAAACATTCTGAGTTCTGGTATCTTAGCTCTACCCAAGTTCTTCCTGGGAAATCTTATTCCAACAGACATCAGCTTTTTCAAAAAAAAAATCTGTAAATAAAGCTGACAATACTTCCAAGAAAATAGCTAACCTGATAAATAGCCTCTTCTGTGAACACAATGAGGGACAGCAGTGCCTATGGCTAACCTTTGACAAGTTTAATACACCAACTTATATCTTTCTTTATCTACTGCAGAGGATAGGGCTAACATTCTTCATGTCATATACAATGTTCCTAATGGTTATTTTAAAGAAAATTTTGCTAAAAGCAATATTTTTTTTTAAATTCAAACTGAAATCCAATTTTAACAATGCACTTTGTCTACATTGAAAGACTTCAGTGATGAAAAATGTAAACCAGTTATTTATTATGGTGGAAATAATTCTAATCTTCTGATGCAAAGTCAATTGTATAAAAACCATTTAACACTATTTTACATTACAAAGAGTGAATTTATAAACCATATCACAATATCATTCCATAAAACTCTGCACTGGATGGGTATAACATATTTCTGCTGACTTTTTTGTACTACAGCCCTATATCAATCGATGAAAAATGTGATTTTTTTTTCTGCTAGGAAATAATTGGCACCTTTTTATTCCATCATTATGCAACCAAAAAATATTCGGTATAGTGAAGATAGCGTTTCACATCACCAATTATCTTGCTTTGTTTCTGGTATGTTGGATAATGAAACTAATTGGTAAATATTGATAAAGTACAAGACTACCGAATGACTTTGGTCTATAGAAAGAAACAGAAAAGTACACTTTGTCAGGTGCATAAGAAAACAAAATATAAAATTGATCTTAACCGCAAATAATCATATGAATTCATTGCTAGAATTAAAACCACTAAGCATTATTTCAGTAGGCACGCTGGCTATGTAAAGCACATTTTACTGGTTATAGAAGCAACAAGAGTTCAAATTTAGCTAGAAAATGGAGACAAAAGGAAGAAGTAAATCTTAATAGGATAATTTTCAATATTTGTCATTTTGCAAGTAAACATTTTTCCATCAAATTTCACTCCCTTTAAATTTGTAAAAATAATCACAAGTTTAACATTGTAGTTCACAAATTCATACATGTGGCAAGTACGAGAAAGAAGAAAGAACTGCTTAGCTGTTTACATTATAAGAGCGGGGATAGTTTTTTCTGTTTATGTTTTTTTTTGTTACACTGTAAAAAGTAGACTGCTAGGGTGTTATAGAGCTGTGCAACCTTTTGTTCAAATTTCATAACGATCAGTCTAAAGATATCAAAGTAATTGTGCAAAAACATTCCAACAACAAAGACAAATAACCATGATATTATTATGAGTTAAGCCTTTTTCAACATATTTTTATAGTTTGTTCTTATGTTGTACTGTCACACCACTGTCCCAAGTTACGGGGAGGGTTAGCGCCTTCAAACTAGTTTAACCCTGCCACATTCTATATGTGCCTGTCCCAAGTCAGGAGCCTGTAATTAGGTGGTTGTCGTTTGTTGCTATGTTACATATTTGTTATTTGTTCATTATTTTGTACATAAATTAGGCCATTAGTTTTCTCGTTTGAATTGTTTAACATTTGTCATTTCGGGGCCTTTTATAGCTGACTATGAGGTATGGGATTTGCTCATTGTTGAAGGCCATACAGTGACCTATAGTTGTTAATTTCTGTGTCATTTGGTCTATTGTGGAGAGTTGTCTCATTGGCAATGATACCACATCTTCTTTTCATATGATAAAACATACCATAATTCAAATGCAAATATTTTATCTCTAGACTTTTATTGTATTTTTTTATCCTACAATCTATTAATTTTAAAATGAAAGTCCAAAGACAAGGCGATAATCTCCACTCAACTTTTCAAGCTCAGCAGAAAAGTCACCAGCAACAATTATCAATTCTTGAATTCATTGATAAAAGTTTACCCTCTATATGGCAAAATATAAAATTCAAAAATTTTTACTTCAATTAGTTGTTATTTTTTGTGAAAAGCACTTAAACCATTATAACTACGTAAAATAACCATTGAAAATTGTCAATAATACTTAAACTGCAGACATATTTTGTAAAATATGACAGTCAAGTTGTATTTATCTGGAAGTACAATAAATAAGGCATAAATATGATCTATTACACAAAATCTTGATAGAACAATTGGTATGGCTAGACTTAAAAGCTGAACTTTGTCACCCAGTCACGAATAAAGGTTATGACAGTCAAGAATTATGTCCACTGAGATTATACATCACAGATTGTCTATAGTGCTGGCTATATACAACATACATTAATATATATACAGACATGCAATATACCCATCACCCAACTTCAGGTCACATATGTGTCAATAAACATATATAAGTATTCCCATGTAATGCCTTAATCATACCAACATGCTTCTGGGTATTTTGGTTAGAGCATGATAATAAATCACAGAGGAGAAATAGGGAAAGCAAATTGTGGAACTGATTTATTCATTTAATATTTTAGCTTTTTATTAATATATCAAACGTGTTGATCATAAGTATATGAGAATTAAGGGTATGGAATTTAAACCTTAAAATAACATATTTGGATAGCTATTGTTGTTTATATATTCAATCAACCTGTTGTTTTCGTGTTCAATGAACATGTTGTTTAAATATCTAACACATTGCTGTTTAAATGTTTAATAAACCAGTTAAGTTGAAGTTTAAAAATCAAGTTGTTTTAATGTTTAATGAACTTGTTATAATGTTTTATGGACCTGTTGTTAAAATTCGTAATGAACCTGTTGTTAAAATTCGTAATGAACCTGTTGTTAAAATTTGTAATGAACCTGTTGTTTCAAAATTTACTGAACCAGCTATCATTCTAATGTTAACAGAACCTGGTGTTCGAATGCTAATTTCCATGTTGATGAAATGGTTAATGGACCTGTTGTTTTAATGTAATATTAACCTGTTTTCCCCCTATGTTTATAGGCTTGTTGCTTCTATGTTTGATGGACTTGTATTGTTTCCAGATCCTTTATATTCATTTTGTGTTTTGTTCTTAAATCTTAAAGTAAATTAACAAGTTTGATTATATACTGTTGATATAAATAGTCCCAAAGACATGAAAATATCTATATTTCTTAAAATTGATTAAATCTATTGCAGTTGTAACTGAAGCTATTTGAAAAACCTTCAGTTATTAAGTAAAAAATGCTTAACCTGTATATAGGTAATGTTATCCATGTTTATTTTTTAGGAGATGCCAAAGGTATGCATATTACATCTGTTCAACAAAAAGTTTAGAGGAGTCTGTATTGCTCACATAAATTCATTAGAATCTTAGTTGCAATAAATGCCTCTAGTCTGTACATAGCAAATTCAACATCCTTGTAAACATTTATGTTGGTTTATTTGTTGTTGTAAACTCCATTTTCCATGCCCATTGATATATCATAGCTGCCAGATTTTATTGGCGGAGGAACCAGGATTTCTAAAAAAATAAACTGTTAACACAAAGATATGTCTCGCCTATTTGTTATTTTGATAATGCAAATCTTGAAATTAAAATAGCAATACTTTATTAATATGTAAGTTATGCAAATATTCAAAGTCAATGAACCATGACTGAAGGTACAGGGCTAAACAATCTCCATGGAAATGAGATGAGCCAATACTAATACAATTGTATACCAAATACCACTGAAATCTCATAAGTCTTTCCCTTTAAACAAACACAAACATTAACTTGTAAACTATGAGGGGTTATATAATTTACATGGAAATGAAACTTGAAAATGCCAATACATTTGCATACCAAATATCATTCACTTAACATTAGTGGTTCATCTTAAACTGACCTAATCACAAGCTAATACATGTAAACTACCGGCAAGCAAAAGTTTCAAAGTCAATAGCCCATGACTGAGGGAGCCGGGCCAAATAATCTCCATGGAAATGAGATATGCCAATGCTTATACAACTGCATACCAAATATCATTGACCTACCACTAGTGGTTCCCCATAAACTGACTTAATCACAAACTAATACATGTTAACTAAGCAAAAGTTTCAAAGTCAATAGACCATGACTGAGGGTGCGGGCCAAATAATCTCCATGGAAATGAGATATGCCAATGCTTATACAACGGCATACCAAATATCATTGACCTACCACTACTGGTTCCCCATAAACTGACCTAATCACTAACTAATACATGCAAACTAAGCAAAGATTAAAAGTCAATAGACCATGACTGAGGGGGAGGGGCCAAATAATCTCCATGGTAATGAGATGTGCCAATGCTTATACAACTACATACCAAATATCATTGACCTACCACTAGTGGTTCACCATAAACTAGACCTAATCACAAACTAATACATTGTTGACGACGCCACCGCCGCTGCTGGAAACAGCATACCTATGTCTCGCTTTTTGACTCCGTCAAGGAGAGACAAAAATGGAAATCCTTAACTCGCCATAAGCAGGGGGGACGGCACATAGGAGATTGTGATATGAATGTATTTGCTTAGTGAGACCAATTTTTTTCTGCAAAATGCACTAATTGGAAGATTGTGTATGGAAACAAAGAAATGGCAAAAGCATATGCTGGCCTAATGAGCCAAGTGAGATAGAAACATAATAACTTTTATAATACTGCTGTTTTGGTATTCTAAGTTTCTTTTAAATGACATGCAAGCCAGACAGAAGCTGCATTGAAAGACCAGTTTTAATATCAAATATAAAGAATGACATTTAGTTTTGTTAACTTGTATTGTTAGGTTGATATCTTGTTTACATTTAATGCATGTCTTTTTGAAATACATAATTGGGATGTTTTGCTAATAAATGACTATATGGATCTCAATTTCAGCAGCTCTTGAAAAGTTATGACTAGTTGTAAGAAATATGTGAGTACTTCAGACATTTTTCCAATAAGTATGGCCTTCAACTAATATTTGCTTACCAATTTGTTATCATTGACAAATTGTGTACTCATATTAATAAAGCTGAAATTTCTTCATGAATAAACAAACAGAAATGTTTCAATATTTGGCACAATCACTCATCAAAAGATATTACCAATACTGTGAAATTTTATGGTAGACTGAACATATGAAATTACTAAAAGATATAAGATGATTCAAGTATCTAACATGCAATGAAAATAACCATGCTTTCATAACATCCACATAGACGTAAAAATACAAATATCTAACAAAGAAAATGCAACGTTTATGATGATCAATATTTCGATTCAATTTCTGTTCAGCAATATGATTTTTTTATGTGAATGCCAAAAATAATATAACAGATGACTTGATATGTTGACTTTACAAGAAGCTATCAGTTCTGTCTTCTGAGTTTTGTTTAAAACCAATAATTAGGAACTGAGAAACAGCTCTATTTCACAGCTTCAGCATATTATATTTTTCCTCTTGAGTAAAACACATCAAAATATTTATGGATTTTTTTTCAGTAATATCAATAATCAAAGCATAAGAAAATTTAAAACAAAGCAAAATAAAATAATTTTATTATTTTCTTTTTATCGAAATTCCACCTTTTAGAAATGGATTGAAATTATTGATCATGGAATAATTTTTTGACATATCAACCAAAGCATACTTTACGACAATGACATTGCTTGTTAAAACTTACGACATAATCCTGCATTGGCAAACAAAACACAAAACAATAAACAAACACCTTCATTAGTAAACAAAAATTATTAATTCTATAGCATGCAAACAAACAATCCTGCATTTACATTAAAAATATTTGCTAAGAAAATCATACTAAAAATATCAAAATTCAAGCAAAACCATTCTTTTATAAAATCCTTCCTTAGTTCTAACTTTTTGGAGACTACTTTTGTACTTGAAATACTGAAAGTAACATTTTGTATGTTTTTTGCTATATTTCCTATAACAGTGTGCCAAGACATTGTACAATACCTTGAAACCTGTGTGAACCAACCTCAAGTACACTAAATTCAATTGATTTGTTTTGTAAAGCTCTTACAAATGATCAGATAAAATTCATTGATAGAAAATGTTTAAAAATTGAAATTTAACTACAGAAATTTTTGTTATTGTGAAAAATTGTGACAGGATAAGTTTCATAAAAATAATAACTTGCGTTTACACATTATTAAATTTTGAAAGCATTATTTGTATACAGCATTTCTTCAAAATAGCTCTTAAAAAGTTCTGACTAGTTGTAAGAAATATGTGAGTACTTCAGAAAAAAAAAATCTCACACTTTTGTTCTCGTTCAACAATTACAAAATGCATGCAAAAATTTCTGAATTTACAGTACTCAATTTTGTGTAACCTTAAATCTCTTGTATCTGAACATGAACACGGTATTCACTAGAATACATAACTCATGAGAAATATAACCTGTCTAGCCCGAATCAAATCTCTTGTTCCCATGAGGTTAATTTAAACTGGTCTCAAACATACAGTGCAACTTTTACTAATGAATAATAATCACATATAAACCTACTACCTGCATTCATAGCCATAGCTACACTGCTACAGTACATATCTACCAATTCTACAATATTACGTGCTAGAATGGGTCCAGGTCATTGGTTTAATATTATTCTCAGTACTTTTAAAACACGTGACCAAAAGAGCTCACATTATCAGCCAAATCTTTTTGATATGACTAGCAGTAAATTCCTGCAAAGCATGTGAAGTGATCTGTATCTGTACAGTCTAGTCCTTACTGCACAGACCATTTAGGAATAGTGATATTTTGGTTAAAATGTATTGCATAAGGAAGTCTTTAACTAAGGTACAGTAGGGCAAGGGAAGGACATTTTTTTAGACAATTTATAAAGATTACCTTTATCGATATAGATTTATAGTCATCTGCTACCTGGATAAATAAAGGTATGAAGGGAAGATTACCTTTTCAAAATTAATTTTTATAACCTCCTCTATTTGAAGCAGAGGTTGTATAATGATTACAGTGTCCAAAATTTAATATAGAAATAAAAGATCAACATTCCAATGTTCCCTGTTGAGACACGTATTTTACTCTATCCTAGGGCAAAAACCTTAGATAGTTTTCATACATATCCTACAACAAATTTAGGCAACACAGATCTCTTACAATGAAATTTTCCATGTAATTTGTATTTCATAGGGACATAACCCTAAAATAACCTTACAGGATGAATTTTCAAATTGTTCAAGACATTGCTGATATAAACCTTTTGATATGAATTTTAAATAAATTCAGCAAGAATTGTAGCCCGAGAGTGCTTACGATGCAATTTTCTAAGGAAATTCCAAGGGACAAAACTTCTGTAAAAGTATGTAATCAGAACTAATTTTCAAACTGAAACATTGCTGATATAAACCTTCGATATGAATTCAATAAAATCTTTACAGACATGAAGGCTTGAGAGAAATTTTCCATAGAATGACTTCAATGCATATTTCCAAGGGCCTAACTCCTTTAAAAATAATTGATTGGCACTGATTTTCAAACTGGTCCAGTACACTGATGATATAAACCTTTGATATAAATTTCATAAAAAATCTTGCAATAACTGCACAAATGAGTGTGCCTACAAGGCTAGAAGGACATACAGACAAATGGATGTACACCTGGTATTTCTTTGTCCCCTGAGCTCCCTTGTGTTGGGGTGCAATAAGAATGTGGTATTGTTTGCCAATGAAACAACTTTCCATAAGACACCAGATGACTTGGATGTTAGAAAGATAGTTTACTTTATCTTTTGTTTATAATCCAGTCTGTTTCTTAAATTTAATGACATTTAGACTATCTTAAGTACTTAAGGCATTTTGCACTTCCTAATTTAAAAAAAAATCAAAATGAAATTTGCCTTTGGCATAGCTTCAACAGGGGTAGACAACTCTTCCTTAACAAAGGACTGGATATCATAGACAATTTCTATGAATCTTTCTTACATATTACCATTATGCACCTCATGTCTTAGCTGTAGAACTGTAGCTCTTATATGGTCCTTGTGAAATTTTTGACAATTTGAGGACCCCAAAGACCATAAAGCTATGACTCCACAGCTACTGCTATGGTTCTATATCTACAACTATTCTTTTATCCAAACAACTATTGAGGTCTGTCATAGCAATGCACCGACAATTATACAAGTGGAGAAAGCAAAGAGTATGAAATTGTAAGTTTATTAACCAGGAAACTATATACAGATTGTTTTTGCAGACTTCAACCATTAACTTGTCCAGTAAATTTATTTGCAAATAAATCCTATACAGACTTGTCTAATAGGAAGACTAACTGACACGTATCAATACTCTGTGACAAGACTTAGGTGCTAGAACTGACAGCAACAATATAATTGTCCATATATGTTGTCTAAATCTAAACGAAGACAGGAGAAAAGATCTGATGTTTATCTTAAGGATTAATCTGATATGAGAAAACAAGGATTTTTTAATGGTGTATCTGATTTTTGTACAAATGCAAGAATAAAACAGGGTTTGCCTAATATGCTTGAAAAAAAGGACATTGAAAGCTAGTATGAACTTTTTTTAGCCCTAAAATCAATTTTTGCATCAGTTAATATGTCAATTTTTATCTAAGCCTGTTAAAACTAAATATAAGTTATAATACATATTACACACACATTACCTCAGCATTATAAAACTTTGTTTTTACATCTAATGGTTTCAGCACCTTAAATAGAAAATCGTACAAAGTTATTATTATAGGTCATATGTAACACTGTTACCACAGATAGTGATGACTGCATAAAATTGAATCAAAATGTGTTGAATACAGTTCAAAAAATCATTGACAAAATGCCTAGAGACCAAATATACATTACTAAAAATAAAACATCTGTTCCAGGACTGCATGATGTGACTGTCCACTGAGACATTGTTTGTAGATTTTATGAATTTGACTACTAAAGTCTGTCTTTGATAGGCATATAAAAACTAGAGGCTCTAAGAGCCTGAATTGCTCAATTGGCAAATTTACCCCTTAATTGCCAGATGTTAACTTTTCAAAAAATTCAACTTGATGGAAAAGAGAACCTTCAGAGCTTAATGAGAATTTTTTTTTTGTAGAGGATCTATTCCTGGTGGTTGAAATTGATCATATTATTTCAGAGAAGGAGAAGAAGACTTAAATGCTATTTTCCACCATGTCCAATTGGAACTACCAGCCACAAATGGTGCCACGTTTGCCACCAATTAAACATTAAACTAGAGGCTCTCAAGAGCCTGTGTCGCTCACCTGTATTTACTGATGCTTTGGAAATCATGTAAAATAAGGTTAAAATCATAATTAATAGTATTAGATATTAGATATTATAATGATATCTAAGATAATAACAAATAAAATGCTCTGCAGGGCGCAGCTTGATACGACCGCAGAGGTCGAACCCTGAACAGTTGGGGCAAGTATGGACACAACATTCAAGCTTGATACAGCTTTGCATTTGGATTGTGATTAAATATTTGACACAGCATAGGTTTCTGACACAGAATGAATGTGGTCTAAGAACTTAAAAATTTAAATTGGACATTCACCTATTATGGTCCAATATCCAAAATCTAAATACATGGTTAGATTCAGCATATCAAAGAACCCCAAGAATTCAATTTTTGATGAAATCAAACAAAGTTTAATTTTGGACCCTTTTGACCTCAATGTGGACAAAGTTGATAACAGGGCCCAAAAATCAAAAATCTAAATACATGGTTAGATTCAGCATATCAAAGAACCCCATATATTCAATTTTTGTTGAAATCAAACAAAGTTAAATTTTGGACCTTAATGTAGACCAATTTGAAAACGGAACCAAAAATTAAGAATCTAAATACACGGTTAGATTCGGCATATCAAAGAACCCCAATAATTCAATTTTTGATGAAATCAAACAAAGTTTAATTTTGGACCCTTTGGACCTCAATGTGAACCAATTTAAAATCGGGGCCCAAAATCCAAAAACTAAATACACGGTTAGATTCAGCATATTAAAGAACCCCAAGAATTCAAGAATAAAACCCCATTGAAATTGGTCAAGAAATAAGCAATTTATACAAAGTATCTTCTTTTGCACAATACTGTGCAATTAAATATTTCTTGCTATTGCGCAATACTGTACAATTGACAATTTCTTGCTATTGCGCAATATTGTGCTATTGGATATTTCTTGCTATTGTGCAATACTGTGCAATTGAAGATTTCTTGCTATTGCGCAATACTGTGCAATTGAAGATTTCTTGCTATTGTGCAATACTGTGCAATTGAAAATTTCTTGCTATTGCACAATACATATTATATAATAATTTACACATCCTCTTTGGTGTGTATCTCCTACCATATCATTATTATTTGCTTTTAAATATAAATCAGAAATAACCAACTTAAAATGGAAAATTTTAAAAGAAAAAAAAAAGGAAAAAAAGAAAAAAAAAAATATCCCCCCCCCCCCCAAATTTTTTGAACCCCCTTATGATTCATCACCCCCAAACTCAATCCCAGCCTTCCCTTTGTGGTATGGTACCTTGCAGTACAATTTCAGAGAGATCCATACACTTGAACACAAGTTATTGTCTGGAAACTAGAAAAATGTGTTTTTTGGCCCCTTTTTGGCCCCAAATTCCTAAACGTTTGGGGCAATTACCCCCAAATTCAAACCCAACTTTCCTTTTGTGATATGGAACCTTGTAGTACAATTTCAGAAAGATCCATACACTTACACACAAGTTATTGTCCTGAAACTAGAAAAATGCTTGTTTTTTGCCCCTTTTTGGCCCCTAATTCCTAAAATATTGAGGCAATTACCCCCATCATCAATCCCAGCCTTCTCTTTGTGGTATGGTACCTTGCAGTACAATTTCAGAGAGATCCATACACTTGAACACAAGTTATTGTCTGGAAACTAGAAAAATGTGTTTTTTGGCCCCTTGTTGGCCCCCCAATTCCTAAACGTTTCGGCAATTACCCCCAAACTCAATTCCAGCTTTCCCTTTGTAATATGGAACCTTGTAGTACAATTTCAGAAAGATCCATACACTGACACACAAGTTATTGTCATGAAACTAGAAAAATGCTTGTTTTTTGCCCCTTTTTTGGCCCCTAATTCCTAAAATTTTGAGGCAATTACCCCCAAAATCAATCCCAGCATTCCTTTTGTGATATGGAACCTTGTGGTACAATGTCAGAGAGATCCATACACTAACACACAAGTTATGTCTGGAAGTTACAAAAATGCTTATTTTTGGCCCCTTTTTGGCCCCTAATTCCTTTACTGTTGGTACCATAACCCCCAAAAATCAATCCCAACCTTCCTTTTGTGGTATTGAACCTTGTGGTAAAATTTCATAGAGATCCATTCACTTAAACTAAAGTTAGAGTGCGAAAACCAATGTGTCTTCGGACGACGACGACGACGACAACGACGACAACGACTACGACGACGACGCCAACGTCATACCAATATACGACCACAAAAATTTTTTTGCGGTCATATAAAAACTGCAAAATTTTTGTAAAATTACTATCTCAGGGGCAGCAACCCAACAACAGGTTGTCTGATTCATCTGAAAATTTCAGGGCAGATAAATCTAAATCTGATGAACATTTTTGCCACCTGTCAGATTTGCTCTAAATGCTTTAGTTTCAGAGATATAAACCAAAAACTGCATTTTACCCCTATGTTCTATTTTTAACCAAGTCGGCCATGATAGTTGGAGGCGGGGTCATCGGACAAATTTTTTAAACTAGATACCCTAATAATGATTATGGCCAAGTATGGTTAAATTTGTCTCAGTAGTTTCAAAGAAGAAGATTTTTGTAAAAGATTACAAAAATTTACAAAAAATTGTTAAAAATAGACTATTAAGGGCAATAACTCCTAAAGGGGGTCGACTGATAATTTTGGTCATGACAACTTATTTGTAGATCTTACTTTGCTGAACTTTATTGCTGTTTACAGTTTATCTCTATCTATAATAATATTCAAGATAATAACCAAAACTGCAAAATTTCCTTAAAATTACCAATTCAGGGGCAGCAACCCAACAACAGGTTGTCAGATTTGTCTGAAAATTTCAGGGCAGATAGATCTTGACCTGATAATCAGTTTTACCCTATGTCAGATTTACTCTAAATGCTTTGGTTTCAGAGATATAAGCCAAAATCTACATTTTACCCCTATGTTCTATTTTTAGCCATGGCGGCCATCTTGGTTGGTTGGCGGGGTCTTCGGACATATTTTTTAAACTAGACACCCTAATGATGATTGTGGCCAAGTATGGTTAAATTTGGCCCAGTGGTTTCAGTGGAGAAGATTTTTGTAAAAAGCTAACGACGACGACGACAACGGACGACGGACGCCAAGTGATGAGAAAAGCTCACTTGGACCTTCAGGCCAGGTGAGCTAAAAAGGGTGTTTTGTAGAGGGTCTTTCAATCAATAATCACCTATGTTTGAAACATTTCGGCATGTTGTTTCAGTTGAGATTTTGTAAATTTGCAAAAGGGAATCAAAGATAGTATCTGACAGCAATGTTTTATCATCTGATTTGAACCAAATGAGTACTGGTTGTAGAAGACCTTAATCACATCATTCCTGCAAAGCTTAGCTAAAATAGGATGAGCGGTGAGATCATTAAAACACAATTATTAGAATAAGGAAAGGGGACATAAATATAAAGCTAAATGTTTGAAATATCTTTTCGTATACAATTGTATTTTTAAAATTGTCTTGTGTGAAGTAAGGATCTTTGTTACATCCATTGAAAATACAGATTTATTGTAATCAATTGAAGGATGATTACCTGGAATTTGAAGAACTTTCTGAAAGCCATTTTGTCACCAGTGTTTGTTGTGTAACTAACAGCACATACCAATCTGAAACATAAAAAAGTCGCATTAATCTTCAAATCTGAAATACCTTTATTATATGACAATTGTCAGTTTTCTGGAAACATATGAAATCATAGTAATAAATGTAACAGATAAAATGATGTTTTATTGTTTGAAACTTAACAAGCAAAAAACACCAACTATTAACCATGACAAACCAACTTTTAACCATGACAAACCAACTCTTAACCATGACAAATCAACTTTTGACCATGACTAATGACTAGACTATGCTGATGGCATTTTGAAAAAGAGAAATTGAACAGTTATATATCAAAAGCATCTTCAGACACAGTATTATGCTTGATACATAAAAAGGCTTGATACATAAAAAGGATTGATACAATAATCTAAGATTCATGTGTAAATTTGGGACCTTTTTTGTTCCTCATAACTTGGAATTTATAAATATAACACAAAATTTGTTTTGATTGCCTAAAAGAATTAATTTCACCCAGTTTGGATGATATAAAAATTGTGAGCACTAATTAAAGGTACAATTTCAGGCCTTTTGATCCCTTGAAGAAGAAAAAATACAAGACTTATAATTCCAGCTTTTCAGATTTTTCTTTTTGTCTAAAGACATCAAAAAGACAAAAAAACAGACCATCCCACAGAAAGCATTTAAAATGTATTTTTCGTTTTTTCAAAGTTTTTTCACTATTAAATGCCAAGTTTGCTATATAATGTATATGATTTATCACACAATATTTACATATGAGTTCCAAGCTCTTTGACTTCATGATGTATGACATCATCTATACTGTGGTCTGGACCCAATTCACCAACAGGGTCTGAATTGGCACCTGATAACATCAATCTTTGTGAACTGGTCTGTAGGTCAACCTGCAAATTGAATTATCTTTGCTTCTGAACTTGCTAACAATAATGAAAGGATGTAAATAAAAACATTTTAATGGTTATAACATAAGATTTTGAGTCAAATTTGTAATGTTGGCAGGATAATGATACACAAAGAACTTGAAAGAAGGGTAGATAAAACATTCCTTTTCTTTATGAAAAAAATAAAATAATGTGCACTATGGTATGTAGCTTAAGGATATTTCCAAGTACTAATAATTCAGAAATTATTGCAAGGTTTTTATTAATGCAAATAATGGGACTGGTTGAGTATTGCAATAATAAGAACTTGCATTCTGAATTGGATACATATATCTGTCTGCAAATTTTCCTGAAATCGCAATAATTAATTTTGCATGTTTGTCTATTCTTAAAAAATTGCAATAATAAATGCATGCAATAATTTCTGAATTTACAGTACAGAAAAATGAATCATAATCAATTCTTCGATATTAATTTCTAAAATAAGCAAAATTTGATCAGTTCTGGAACCTTGAGATTGTCAGCAATCATCTTTTATCAAATCTAATATGTTTTTCCTAATATTTACAGATATTGGTGTTAATGACAGATCTTAGATAGTCTATATCATATTTATTAACAACTTTTGTAGACTGTGTGATTTAGAGTTTGAAATATTTTACAGACATGTAAATATTGTTGAACTTTAAATGCCTTCCGTTTTTTTAGTTACTGGATTGCTGTCTCATCAACATATACCCACACCTTCTTTTATTCATATCAAACACTGTAAACAAGAGGCAGGTATACCAAGTGACATTCAAAACTCATAAGTCGAGATAAACTGAAAATTCCATGGCTAAAAACAAAAGATGGTGGGAAAAAAACTGAATAGAAAAATAAAGACTGAGCCACACAAACTCCACCAAAAACAGGGGGTGATCTCTGTTACTTCTGTATTATTGTACCAGATAATATAATATTTCTTCTTTATTCTTATAATAATTATTATTACAACTATGCTATATACAATTACTGTATGATCTCCACATGTTCACTCTATGTCCTATTACTCACTCTGTTGTGACTTTTATGTAACAATGGTAATGTACCTTGTTTGCTTCTGTGCATATAGTGCACTATGCAGACATAATAAAATTGGTGGCAGAAAAAAAATTTCATCCTTTTTACAGTTATGTCTGCTTAACTGAATTTTCAATAAATAGGTGACTTTATTTTTTTCTTCTTGATAAGAAATATACTTCCTGATAAAATTCAGGAGGCTAATCATGCAATCATTAATGATATTGTTTACGAAATAATTCTATATGATGTAATTTTAATATTTAAATGCAAATTCTGACTCAACTTAAACTAGTAAAATTTTAGCTTTACCTCAAAAAACAATATTTCAATGCAGAAAATATTAATTTTAAATTCAAATCCATACTCTGCACAATCTTTCTCTTTTTTTATCTAATGAAAATTTCAGATTGTGGTCAAAATGAAGCAAGTCCCAATTGAATAGCATTGGACAAATGGCTGATATGCTTCTAACCACACTTAACAATCCTTGCTTAATCAAGTCTGTTTCTCTAATTTTGTGGCTATTCATTGTAAAAAATACAATTCATAAATCATATTTTGACAAGATCTTTAGATACACAGTGAGAATCAAGTGCATTGTTGATGGTTCATTAGAAGTCTTTCGAAAACACCAGATGAACTAACACCAAGAGTTAATAACCCTTAGCCATCTTTTTACTGAGTGGACCATTCTTCTGTTCACTCTTTCAATAAGGCATGGTAAATATTTCTTATAGTTAACTTAAGACATTTCAATGCCACTCTGCAACAATTGTTTTCATTTAAATTGTTATGAAAATAAATGCTATTTCAATTTTAGTAAAAAGTGTCATAACAAAATATACCAAGCCCAAAGGTAAATCCAAAAAGGGAAAGTTGACTGCATTAACCAACAAAATGGCTGGAAAATTATTTTGAGAGACACAGTTTCAGTAAGAAAAAGGCTCAAATACCATAATTATTTCCAGAAGTCTTTTTATTTTGTTTTGAAGTTCACTAGTGATATCATGACATGTATCAAATAATAAGAAGACAAGTTAAACTGAGTGTACCTCCAATAGACACTGTGTCCTGCTTTCACACATAGGTCTGTAGAGTGGGTGGCGCATATTCGCCTTGGACACATTTTCGCCGATTTGCTATTTTTTCTGTAAAATTTGTGTGCCTTTACCCAATATTTGCCTAAATAGATGGTAAAGGCTGTTTGTAATGTTACAACTGTCGATATTCCTCTTTACCCCATTTCCAAGGTTATTCGCACATATTGAGAAATACGCAGGTGTTTTTAAATTATTTTGACAATTATGTAAGATTTATATGGCAATCATGCGCAGTCTTAAAGTAAATATTTGTGAGAAAAATCGTATAGGAATGATCTCTCAAGCTAATTCATGTAATTGCAAACATTCGTTTTTATAATATACCAGGATAATGAGGATGGTCATATCATACATTGCGGCGAAAATGTGTCCCCCATGGTACACGAACAACTTGATTTCCTCTTGAGTTTGCGTTCGTTTTTAGAACAATTAACCAATGTTTTGAAGATAATTTCTTTATCAAACATTTTTTTCATATAGTTAAATTTCTGAAACCTTCATAAAAAGTTCCAAATATTCGAATGTAGGTCGGATGTAAGTGGAAATGAACGAATTATGCGGCGAATATGGGTCTCTCACTCTATAAAAATGAGCTATGAGTTGGTATAGGAATACTATAACCCAAAATATAAATAACTTGTACTTTCCCATTTATTACTAACTATTACACACTATTAGATCATCAAACTGACCTATATTTCCACTTCTTTATATCCGAATGGATTCAACAAAGAAGTTCCCTAATTTGAGCTTTGACTAAACAATGACCATAATCACTTGACATACATTTTCTGTTGTTTACATCTTAATGCCATTGAAAACCATATACTTACTAGTATACTTATCAAACATTCCTTAACCTAAACAAAAGTTTAACTTTATCATTAAATCATGAAATGTAGGTCATACAATCTTGTTTGCATATATTTCAGGTATATTTGAAAAATCTTCGTGTGATTAGCACATATACTTCATTTCAAACTTGCCTAATACTTAAACTTTAATCATGATCATTGTACAATAAATTGTAGTTCAAATCATCCTTTAGTTCATAGTTCACATCAATTAAATCATTATACAAAGGTAAAGTTTCCTTTTGATAGCACATGCATTTTATACAAAACTCCTTTAAGAAATTTTAACCAAAAAGATCAACTTGGACAAATTAATACAAATAAATGTGGATTGTGTCCACATGTGGACACAGATGATGCCCCCGCTTGCATATCATATAGTTATAAAGGGACATAACTGAAGAACGGTAAAAGTGACGCTACCCAAATTTGAACTTGATCCGAGTTTTGTGGTAATAAGCATTGTGTGTAAGTCTCATAACATTTGGTTGAGGCCAACTTAAGTAGAGAACAGAAACGAAAAATTCAACAATTTTTCTATTTGTAAACACGCATAACTCTAGAACCATTGTGTATAAGTTTTATAACATTTGGTTGAGACAAACTAAAGTCAGAGAACGGAAATGAAAAATTCAGCAATTTTTATGTTTATAAAGGGACATAACTCAAGAATGGTAAAAGTGACGCCACCGAATTTCGTACTTAATCTGTATTATGTAGTAATAAGCATTGTGTATAAGTTTCATAACATTTGGTTGAAGCAAACTAAAGTTATAGAACGGAAACAATATTTGTACTTGATCTTAGTTTTGTGGTAATGAGTATTGTGTATAGGTTTCATTATGTTTGGTTGGAGCAAACTTAAGTTACAGAATGGAAACTAAAAATTTTGCAATTTTTCGATTTATAAAGGGGCATAACCCAACTAGAGGCTCTCAAGAGCCTGTGTCGCTCACCTGATTCTACTTTGGTTTTGGAAATCATGTAAAAATAGATTAAAATCATAACAGATACCCTAATAATGAGTGAGGCCAAATTTGGTTTAATATTGGTCCTGTAATTTAATAAAAAATCCTGGTGGCCATCTTGAACAGTAAATTGGCAACAAAGTAGCAACACTTAATCAGCACCTCATAAGAAACATTTATGCCATGTTTTGGTTTCATTCCATTCAGTGCACCTCTAGAAGAAGCATTTGTATGTATTTCCCATAGAGTCTTATGTTAAAGGAAGTCCCCCCATTGGCGGCCATCATGGATGAAGGATCAGCTTCAAAGTAACAAAACTTAGTCAGCACCTCATAAGGAACATTCATGCCATGTTTGGTTTCAATCCATTCAGTATGTGGTTCTCTAAAAGAAGACATTTGTATGTATTGTCCATAGGGTCCTTTGTTAAACATTGTCCCCATCTGGCAGCCATCATGGATGAAGGATCGGCTTCAAAGTAACAACACTTGGTCAGCACCTCAAAAGGAACATGCATGCCATGTTTGGTTTCATTCCATTCAATGGTTCTCTAAAAGAAAACATTTGTACGTATTTTTCATAGGGTCCTATGTTAAACTAAGTCCTCCGCTGGCGGCCATCTTAGATTATGGATTGGCTTCATAGTAACAACACTCAATCAGCACCTCATAAGGAACATTCATGCCATGTTTGGTTTCATTCCATTCAGTGGTTCTCTAAAAGAAGACATTTGTATGTATTTCCCGTAGGGTCCTATGTTAAACTAAGTCCCCCGCTGGCGGCCATCTTGGATTATGGATCGGCTTCAAAGTAACAACACTCGGTCAGCACCTCATAAGGAACATTCATGCCATGTTTGGTTTCATTCCATTCAGTGGTTCTCTAAAAGAAGACATTTGTATGTATTTCTCATAGGGTCCCATGTTAAACTAAGTCCCCTGCTGGCGGCCATCTTGGATTTATTATGGATCGGCTTCAAAGTAACAACACTCGGTCAGAACCACATAAGAAACATTCATGCCATGTTTGGTTTCATTCCATTCAGTGGTTCTCTAAAAGAAGACATTTGTATGTATATCCCATAGGGTCCTATGTTAAACTAAGTCCCCTGCTGGCGGCCATCTTGGATTATGGATCAGCTTCATAGTAACAACACTCAGTCAGCACCTCATAAGGAACATTCATGCCATGTTTGGTTTCAATCCATTCAGTATGTGGTTCTCTAAAAGAAGACATTTGTATGTATTGTCCATAGGGTCCTTTGTTAAACATTGTCCCCATCTGGCAGCCATCATGGATGAAGGATCGGCTTCAAAGTAACAACACTTGGTCAGCACCTCAAAAGGAACATGCATGCCATGTTTGGTTTCATTCCATTCAATGGTTCTCTAAAAGAAAACATTTGTACGTATTTTTCATAGGGTCCTATGTTAAACTAAGTCCTCCGCTGGCGGCCATCTTAGATTATGGATTGGCTTCATAGTAACAACACTCAATCAGCACCTCATAAGGAACATTCATGCCATGTTTGGTTTCATTCCATTCAGTGGTTCTCTAAAAGAAGACATTTGTATGTATTTCCCGTAGGGTCCTATGTTAAACTAAGTCCCCCGCTGGCGGCCATCTTGGATTATGGATCGGCTTCAAAGTAACAACACTCGGTCAGCACCTCATAAGGAACATTCATGCCATGTTTGGTTTCATTCCATTCAGTGGTTCTCTAAAAGAAGACATTTGTATGTATTTCTCATAGGGTCCCATGTTAAACTAAGTCCCCTGCTGGCGGCCATCTTGGATTTATTATGGATCGGCTTCAAAGTAACAACACTCGGTCAGAACCACATAAGAAACATTCATGCCATGTTTGGTTTCATTCCATTCAGTGGTTCTCTAAAAGAAGACATTTGTATGTATATCCCATAGGGTCCTATGTTAAACTAAGTCCCCTGCTGGCGGCCATCTTGGATTATGGATCAGCTTCATAGTAACAACACTCAGTCAGCACCTCATAAGGAACATTCATGCCATGTTTGGTTTCATTCCATTCAGAGGTTCTCTAAAAGAAGACATTTTTATGTATTTCCCATAGGGTCCAATGTTAAACTAAGTCCCCTTCTGGTGGCCATCTTGGATTATGGATCAGCTTCATAGTAACAACACTTGGTCAGCACCTCATAAGGAACATTCATGCCATGTTTGGTTTCATTGCATTCAGTGGTTCTCTAAAAGAAGACATTTGTATGTATTTCTCATAGGGTCCCATGTTAAACTAAGTCCCCTGCAGGTGGCCATCTTGGATTATGGATCGGCTTCAAAGTAACAACACTCGGTCAGCACCTCATAAGAAACATTCATGCCATGTTTGGTTTCATTCCATTCAGTGGTTCTCTAAAAGAAGACATTTGTATGTATTTCCCATAGGGTCCTATGTTAAACTAAGTCCCCCGCTGGCGGCCATCTTGGATTATGGACGGCTTCAAAGTAACAACACTCTGTCAGTACCTCATAAGGAACATTCATACCATGTTTGGTTTCATTCCATTCAGTGGTTCTCTAAAAGAAGACATTTGTATGTATTTCCATAGGGTCCCATGTTAAACTAAGTCCCCCGCTGGCGGCCATCTTGAAATATGGATCGGCTTCAAAGTAACAACACTCTGTCAGCACCTCATAAGGAACATTCATACCATGTTTGGTTTCATTCCATTCAGTGGTTCTCTAAAAGAAGACATTTGTATGTATTTCCATAGGGTTACATGTTAAACTAAGTCCCCCGCTGGCGGCCATCTTGAAATATGGATCGGCTTCAAAGTAACAACACTCGGTCAGCACCTCATAAGGAACATTCATACCATGTTTGGTTTCATTCCATTCAGTAGTTCTCTAAAAGAAGACATTTGTATATATTTCCCATAGGGTCCTATGTTAAACTAAGTCCCCCGCTGGCGGCCATCTTGGATGATGGATCCGCTACAAAGTAACAACACTTGGTCAGTACCTCATAAGGAACATTCATGCCATGTTTGGTTTCATTCCATTCAGTGGTTCTCTAGAAGAAGTTCAAAATGTAAAAAGTTTACGCCGACGCCGGACGACGGACACCAAGTGATGAGAAAAGCTCACTTGGCCCTTCGGGCCAGGTGAGCTAATAATGGTTAAAGTAACACTACCCAAATTCAACTTGATCTGTGTTTTATCAGTGGAAGGCAAAATTAAACATTGCATTGTATAAAGCATTGATTGTAGTTGATTTAACTATAATCATGGGCAAAGGAAGATAACTCCAATTTTAAAAATTACTTGAATAATGACATTGATATTTTTGGAAAAAATGAAAAATTTAGCAATTTTTCCATTTGTAAAGGGACATAACTTTAGAACAGTAAAAGTGATGCCCCCAAAATTCAAACTTGATCTGTGTATTGTGGTAATAAGCATTATGTATAAGTTTCATAACATTTGGATGAGGCAAACTAAAGTTAGAGAACGGAAATGAAAAATTTTGCAATTTTTCCATTTATAAAGGGGCATAACTCTAGAACGATTAAAGGTATGCCACCAAAATTCAAACTTGATCTGTGTGGTAATAAACATTGTGTATAAGTTTGATAACATTTGGTTGAGGCAAACTTAAGTTAGTGAAGGGAAACCAATTTTGGGATGTACGGATGGACAAGGGTAAAACTCAATGCCCCCTCTGCTTCGGCGGGGGCATAAAAAACAGACATGCATACAAAACAATTTGTCAACTTGTACTCTCAAAGGACACATGACTCAACAGTGGAAAAATGGAATAACCACAAAATTCTATATAGTACCTAAAGCCTGGTAAGAATAGCTATCGCAAAACAGTGTCATAGAAAGTGTGGAAAGTAAACATCATTAGTTGCAAATAAAACATAATTTGATGTTTGTTGCCAGATTACATTTGAACCTTCAATTACAAATCATTGACACAAAGATTTCCAAATTACTCAGACAAAAGATTTATCATCTGAGAAAAAAAAAGATGATTATACCATAGCAAAAATGTTTCAAAAACACATTTTTCAAGATATTAAAAACTATGTTTGTCTGTTAAGTTTCATTCTGACAATATGAGTTAGAACATCCAATTCTCATCACAGCAGTAGAAGACCTTGAAAATATAAGTTTTTTTTTTGGTTTCGGGATAGATTATGAAATAACTACAAGTAACAATAGTAAAACAATGGTAGATGCTTTGTAGGTAATTACTACAAGCGTGTAACATTATGTTGAAGTTGTGGGAGTTGATGCAAGGATAATGACAAGACAATATGGGGGAAACATCTCTCTTATCATCTAAACACCAACAATTGCACTTCTGACAGATGAATTTATATTCCATCGTTAAAAAAAAAGAATGCATTGCAGGGGAACAAAAAAACCAGCGCAAAACCCAGTGCAATATCTCTTGATGACATAAAAATGGTGTAATAATTGTACTCCAACTGTGTACACCTGATAATGTAAACCATCAAATACATATCTTAACTATTATCATGTAATTATTGGGTTCGTAGACAAATACTGTCATGAGTTATTAATTTGGTTCTTATGACAGAAAGGTACTTCTAACATGTTTATCTTGAGTCAATTCAACATACAGTTGATGATGGTCAATGTTGGATACCAATTAAGCAGTCATGCACAATTTTTACAAATAACATTTAATGCAGCTAGACACCACCAAAACCCATATATTATGGTTTCCGTTCATTTTTCTGGAAATATTTTTGTATGGATTGACAACAAGTTATTTTTAAGTGGGCAATCTTTCAGTATTAAAGTATCTAAATATCATTGACTTTCAAATATTTAGGTTTGAATGTTCCTGGTAATGAAACATCCAGAAAAGCACTTCTGATGCACAAAATGTATATATAATGTGTTATTTTTATTTTCTTGCACTTGGTTGATACCGCTGCTGGTGGACTGCTAGTTCCTGGGGGTATCGTTAGCTCAGTAGTCAGTGCTCCCGTTTTGACATGGTTAATAACATATCTTTCTGAAAATTAGAAATGATTAAGAAACTATGGTTTTTCCCTCAGGCAATATTGACCTTAGGTGGATTTGACTTTTTGGTCCTTTTTGGTCATTGCTCCTTCAGTTTTTAGGTATTTATACATCTTTGGCTTTAAAATAATTGGGTTTGAGCATTCTTGAAGGTCAATTCAGAATAAGAAATAAGAACTCAGATTCTGATATCTGGAACATATATCTGTATGCAGATTTTCCCAAAATGGCAATAATAAATCTCACATTTTTGTCCATTCTTCAAAAATTGCAATAATAAATGCAATAATTTCTGAATTTACAGTATATCTTTTAAATGTCTTTATGATAGATGTAATATTTCAATCATTCTGTTTGAAGGGGACTCGGGGTTATGTCTCTTAAATTAAATGGTCATATAGTAAAGTATACCTACTTTTAGTACTATTTCTTTACATGTATGCATACTATCATTGTGCACACTAATATAACTAGAAAATGTCTCTCCAAGGAAAATGTTCCTAAAATATATAAAATTATAATAAATACCAGTTGTATAATAATATATGCAATAAAAATCAATTTGTATCATTTAAACAGACAATATGGGAAAAAAATGGAAAGCTGTGACAATGTTAACCTAGCAATAGATTCACAGTGACCTTAGACTGGAAAAGTCAAATAAACTTGTACTGATACACATGAGCTTGTTTTAAAATTCCAATATATTTTTATAAGGATTTATATGTACTTTTCCAGCATTTGAATGTATATCACAAACCAAAACCACAACCATTGATTACAAGCATGCCATAATCATGTTTAGAATGCATGCATGCTGCATGCTAGCAGTTTGACAGTAATTGAAACAGTGCATAATGGTTGATTGCGCAATCAAACTGCAAGCAAACTGCAATCTTATTTGATTGCGGTTTTATTGTAGGATGATCATGGTTTGATTGCAGGATGATTATGGTTCAATTGGCTGATGATCACGGTTTGATTGCAGGATGATTGCGATTTTAATGCAGGACAAGAAATGATTGTGCTGTTACAAAGTCTCCTAAACAATGCCCCCATAAGTATAAAGCGCTTGGGATCCCCCATATTATTCATTCAATTCATCTCACAGAAAATATATGGTTTAGGGGTGGGGATCTCAGCCATTTACAAGATATAAAAACATTCTCATATGACAAGGGTGAGGATGACCCCATGGGACTTCTTTTATTTATACCCAATGCAATGTCTCAAATGACAGGGGTCGGGATGAACCCTTGGGTCTCAGCCAATATATCATTCAAATCATAGTGACATGACAAACAGGAATATATATTCATGAATTAGGTGTGGGGATCTTGACCATTTACAAGATATTAGAACATTCACAAATGGCAGGGGGTGGGGATGACCCTTGGGGACTAATCCTATATTTCATTTGATATGTTTTACCATGTAGAACATTTTTAATTCCTTAGATTCTCCAATTTTTTGTTATTTTTGTCTTAATTGATAAATAACGATTAAAGTAAAGTGTGAGTGTCATAAGTGACCCCTAACCAATGAAGCCATTACTTTAATCAAGAAATTTTGTCCCCCCCCCCTTTCCCTTTATATGTTCATAAACATCATACAATGTTTAAATTATATGCCAGCTGAAAGTACACTCAATAGGTACTACAGGATAAAATGTGTCTGAGGACACGAATACCCCTGCTTAAGCTTGCATAAATAATACGTGAAAATACTTTTTGAGAGCATTTGATGTCACTGCTAGATTTTAAAGAGTTCTATTGATCTTGTCATAGGTATTTTTGTGCTGTGTGTTATTTTCATATTTTCACTGTTTTGTTTTTATTTCTTATGTAATAAGTTATAAGTTTTGTTGTTTCCAGTGAATTTCTCAGTTCTTGAATAATGCTTTGGTTCTTCTACTTCTAATTTCTTTGTTAACTTTACTTGTTTATTTGGTAAACTAAGCATTTATGACCTAAATAGTATTTAAGTGAAGTTCACAATTTTTGTCCTGAATGAAAAATCTGAGCGTTGTGCTTAGCATTGTGTATGAGTTTCATCAACTTTAAATGAGTCAAACATATTAAGTTAGAGCTCGGAAAAGAAAAAATTAGCAATTTTTCAAGTTTTAAAGGAGCATAACTCTAGAGCAGTCAGTGACTCACTGCCCAAATTGGAACTCTTATGAGTTTCATAAAATTTCATACGAGTGTGGAAATGAAAAAAATTGCAATTATCAAATTATAAAGGGGCATAACTTAAGAACCGTAAGTGACTTACTGCCAAAATTCGAATTGTGTATGAGTTTCATAAAATTTGCATGAGAAAAACTTTGCTTAGGGGGGGGAGGCATAAAAAAATACTAGTATTAGCTGCTTGCCTCTCCCAATTTGACCTTGATTTTGTAGAAAAAAGCATAATTTGACAATTATTTTAAGTGCATGAAACCAAAAAGAGCTCCTTTTTCTGCCTGCTATTCTTCTCAAACATTGCTGTCAAAACACTGACGACATCATAAATGACATCACTTAAAGTTTTATCTAAGTGCATATCAGTCAAAATATGTTATGCATTCCCTGTACTACCTTCCTGCAATCATTGACTGCCAAAACACTGATGACATCATAAATGACATCACTTAAAGTTCTATCTATTAGTAAGTGCATATTAATCAAAATATGTTATGTAAACCCTGTACTACTTTCATGCAATCATTGACAGCCAAAACACTGATGACATCATAAATAACATCACTTTTAGTTTTATTAAAGTGCATATCAGTCAAAATATGTTATGTAATCCCTGTCCTACCTTCCTGCAATCATTGACTGCCAAAACACTGATGACATCATAAATGACATCACTTAAAGTTTTATCTAAGTGCATATCAGTCAAAATATGTTATGTATTCCCTGTACTACCTTCCTGCAATCATTGACTGCCAAAACACTGATGACATCATAAATGACATCACTTAACGTATCTAAGTGCATATAAGTCAAAATATGCTATGTAATCCCTGTACTACCTTCCTGTAATCATTGACTGCCAAAACACTGATGACATCATAAATGACATCACTTAAAGTATCTAAGTGCATATCAGTCTAAATATGTTATGTAATCCCTGTACTACCTTCCTGCAATCATTGACTGCCAAAACACTGATGACATCATAAATGACATCACTTTAAGTTTTATCTAAGTGCATATCAGTCAAAATATGTTATGTATTCCCTGTACTACCTTCCTGCAATCATTGACTGCCAAAACGCTGATGACATCATAAATGACATCACTTAAAGTTTTATCTAAGTGCATATCAGTCAAAATATGTTATGTAATCCCTGTAGATCCTTCCTGCAATCATTGACTTGCTTGCAGTTTGCATGCACATGCACACAGAAAATTACATAATCATCATCTACCTTGCAGCAAGCATCTTGCAATCAAAAATTAAGCTTTGTTATAGCAGCATGCTTGCAGCAAGCTTGTGACAAGCATAATGTTAGTCTTCAATGCATGCAGTTTGCTCACAGAAAGTGCTAACATCATCTTGCAATAAAAAAATATGATGTTAATTGCCGCAAACTAGCATTCTGGAAGTATGCAGTTTGGTAGTTATTACCCTGAATTTTTACTTTCTTTTAGTTATGTTGACACTGTCTTCACTCCCAGGGGCATATCCAGCCATTTTTAAAAGGGGGGTTCCAACCATATGTCCCCATTCAAAAGCATTGACCGTCAAAAAAAAGGGGGGGGGGTTCCAACCCTGGAACCCCCCCTCCGATACGCCACTGATTCTTAACCATAGACTGCAAATGCCTGTGAATGATCTATACTGGTCTATAGGAAATTTCCAAATACTGTAAACCAACTTATTTTCGCGAGCGATTTATTTTCGCGACTAGAAACTTAACACGAATATAAATCGTTGCGAATATGTAAAGCTTTGATCTTTGCTTATCTTACTACATCAAGTAATTTTGAAAATCGTGAAATTAAATCGTCGCTTAGTGGGCTAGAAAGGGCAAAATGCGAAATAAAGTATCCCCGAAAATAAGTAAGTTTACAGTAGGCCAGTATAATCTATTTAAATATTTTTTTTGATAAAGATGATTTGTTGGGAAAAAAGTTGATCATTTAGTCAGCTGATAAGCAAAATGTTGATTTTCCATATAATTTACAATTCCAACTGTTTTTTTTATGACACTAATGATGAGTCTTATGATGTTACACATGTCTGCCATACCTAATCATCTTTGATTCGTTTTCTTTGTAAATTATTGACAATAATTTTATTGAATTTCAATAGGAAATGTTGCTTGAGAACGCCTACAAAGCTGATTTTCTTTCTTTATTTAAATTTCAAAGTACTATCATATAACTCTGAAAAATAATCCAGCTTCTCTTGATATATGGGTAATGCTGATGTAAACCTTTGACATCATTTTATTGACATCTGACAAGAACTGTAAAAATAACTGACCATGTCAGAGGGATGGACAGGCAAATGCTAGGACATCAGCTTTTCCATATCCCTGGGTATGCTTGGTGGCACGTGAAAAAAAAATGTAAATGGATATAAGTAGAAATGGCTAAGACCATGTTTTGGTATGTGATAACACCAACAATCAATAGGATAAAGAATTCAAATTGCATATACACAACTGTATATCCTGAATAAGAATCTGTGTTAATCTGGACAGAGAACACAGTTATTTCATAGTGCATTTTTTTAAGACAATAAATTCGTGCGTTTCTTTAAGACAATAAATTCAAATAAAAAAATCACACTTGCTCTATCTCAAAATGATTTTTACAGTGTAGTGTACAACTTTTCGGACAAATAATATCAAAATTATAGAAAAGTCTACCAACTCTAACTCAAAATATTGACAATTCTATGTTAAGGGGGTCTATAATTCAGTTTGACAGCTTCAGACATACTAATTTTTTACCTTTTTTAACAGGACCAAATCACTACTTTACATAAAAATTCATTTACACCCAAATTCTTTTAACATGTAATTTCATCCCCCTGCTTAATATTTCATGCATAAAATATAAGGAGATAAATTTGGAAAGTGTATGAAAAAAATTTGCAAGTTATACACTGTCCATACTATAGGGACTATATTTGTAGACAATGAAAATCAAAGTAGGATAACTGTGTTCTCGGACCATCTAGTTGAATTTAGTAAAGCTGTTTTTAGGGTGTAGACAAGGTGTGACACATAGGACAAAGATGATGATGACAACCCAAGGTGACAGAAGTGATCGATATGTGTTACTGGACAATGCAAGGCAACACACTATCAAACTTCTTGGATGTTATAACACTTAAGTGGCTTCTATGTATAACTCTGATTCAATAAGGAAAAATATGTTTTGGGAATAATATATCATGAATTACCATATTTAACAGTGAGAACAATACTGCATCATTTTGTGCCAAGTCATTTTCAGCTGATTTTTACATTTTGTTCTTACATTGTGCTGTCCCAGGTTAGGGGAGGGTTGAGCGATCACAAACAGCTCAGTCTTAGAACTTAGCTTTTAAATTACTCTTATAAACTTAAACATTGCCAATGACCTGCATAATTTGGATCATTAAACCTTCATATTATTTCAAGTTGTTAAATTCACAAAATGCATTTACACACCAAATTATATGGCTTTATGTCAATGAATCAATATGAAAGAGGTGGTTTTGGATGCACACATCAACATGGACACCAATGGTACTCCAATTTTTTATTCAACTAAACACCCTATTCTTATAACCATAATGTACTTTCATCAGTTTTACAAAAATAAGAAAATGCAGTATGATTGACAATGAGACAACTCTCCACCAGAGACCAAATGCATTAGAAGTAGCCACTATAGGTTACGGTGGTCATTCAACAATGAGCAAAACCCATACTGCACAGCAAGCTATAAAAGGCCTGATTTACAAAAATATAAACGAAAAACAAATCTGAGATACAGCAACAAACAACAACCACTTTAGTCTGTATTTGGCAACTTAATGGAGTTTCCTTTAATATTCATAAATTTGAATCCATACATCAGATTACAGCATATTTACTTTAATCCCTGAAACACTTGATATGTTACACAAGGAAATTTAACATTTCATAAAAAGAGGTCTGCAAAATCTTTAAACACATTTTTCTTTTATAAGGAAAAGATAATTTTCAACATTGAACAAAATCATATAAAGACGAGTACTTACCCAAAGTTTTGTGGCAAGGTTAGAAGGTCATCAAGACCAAAGTACGGAAGACCAATAGGTTTGGCTATATCTGTATCATTCAGTTTAGAGAACAGCTGACCAGGCAGATCCCTGTTGTCACTAATCAAAGGGTGGAAAGCCATCAGGCCAGGCTTAGTCAGCCTCATAACTGGAAAAGATAAAAAAAAATCGTTGTAAAATATTATCTCTTGTATTTCAAAGGTAAAATAATAAAGCTTGGCTTGGTTAGGTCATACTTGAAAAGGTATACTGAGTACTGCATTTTTGAAGATGTCACCCATGTGTCTAAACATGAAGAATAATCATGAAATTAATTATACTGTGTGGCAAATACTGGTGTTATTGTATTTGACATAAGGTAACTCTAATTGTAAAATTGATAAATCATAGAAATAAATGTACTGAATTACGTAGAGAAATTTGGATATCAAAATATCATTGTCATATTGGGATTTGGATATTGAGTAAGAAATTTCCTACAATTTTTAGCAGGTATTTCCCTTTTCAAGTAAACAAAAGACATCAAATGATGACCTAAACAATTCCTTAAATTAAACCATGCAAACTACATGTCAGCAAAGCCCTGATATGATATATTTTTCTAAGAAATGTTATTTGTAGAGTGTGGTACAGTAATCTCATTCAGATGATCTAAAACTTATCTATATAGTGTTTGAATATCAAAATAATACAAGAAACCACAATATTGATATTTAAAAGACCTCAATAAATGCTACCTGGAAAAAAAAAGGGGAGAGGGGGTGTCAAACATTCTAAGAGCAGAAAAGGGAAAAATATTTCTGTAAAATTTAACAGGAAACTAGTTTATATACATTTAGTAGTATTTAAGAATATTGAAACATACTCTCTCACTTGACAATTAGGCTAAGCACATGTATACAATATTGTTTGTTGACAAGTGTGGTTACAAACATATAAATCTGTAATTGTAACGCAATGCACAGGAACAATAAAATTTACTTTTACCTTTCAATTTGAGCTGTTTTCCACCAGACATTTTAAAGCCATCTATATGTTCATTAGCATTAAAAAGCATGTCACATCTGTGACACAAGGGAAATCATACAATATACATGTATTTATTGTATATAATTTCCTGAATCATAATTACCACATTTACTCTAATCTTCACCAGACATAAGTACATGTTGTATTCATTTTATCCTTCTGTGTATACCACTTATTACAAAAGTGATTTTATTAAAAAAAAAAAAAGTTAATGTTTATTATGTAGCTACAATTTATTTTAGACATTTAATGGGTTTTAATCTCAAGATGCAAAAAACTTTAAAAGCTTGCATTTGTGGTGTTTATTTTTTGTGTTTGTCATCAATTGTTTCAGCAAAAACAAAAACAAACGTACTTTTTAGAATAAAAAACTATGTTGACACTGGATACAGAATGATTCGGTACAAAAATTAAAACTACAGTATTTTAACTCTAGATTGCTATTAGTTCATGTATTGAAATATTCTGGAGATTGTGGGGAAACACAACATTATCTAACAGTACATTCACATCATATTAAAAAAACTAACCAATGTATAAATGTATTTTAAAAATTTTGCTTTTAGTAAATTACTGGTATTAATTTAAGATTGACTTCTGAACTAAGGTTCATCACTGAAACAAACTTCTTATAGCCAGTAGTCATTTATTCACATATTATTTTAAAGAATTATGAAAATGGTCACCAAGTACTGCCAACTGCCTTAATTGTACCTTTATTCCATTCATTCATTAGAAACAGAATGAGACCATTACAAATTTTACAGGACTCCCCTAATTTCAGTATATTATTCTATTATTGTATTTATCACTTTTACATTTCCTTATAACTGATCAGATAAAAGATGAATTTCAATAAAGGGCTATAAAAACTAGAGCTGCTCGCATAGCCAGACAAATACCCCCTACATACATTTGAGTTGTTGCTGTGAAAATCAGTTTTGAGAAAATGACATTTTGAAATTTTTGGCTTGCAGCCATATGAAGGTTAATGGTCAATCAACTTTTTGGGGTCAAAGGTCAAAACCAGAATGACCTAATCTTACTGACAAATCACCTTCCCATAAGGCATCTGCACTTAGTTTGACAGTTTGGTTAACCTAAGTTCTCCAGAGAACAGTTATGCCCCCAACTCAAATAACTATCATAGGATCAAGGTCGAGGTGACAGAGTGACATTATTTTGGTCTTTGATAGTACAAAAGTCAGAGTCAAAGTTAAGGTCACAGAAAGACAGACAGACAGATGGACAAGGTGATACCTATATACCCCCTACCAACTTTGTTTGCAGGGTGTAAAAAATTAAGCTGTGAGCTTTTCCTGTAAAATTGCAGTAAAATCTAAAATTATAAGTGACCAAGTTTGTTTTTTTTATTTTTATTTAAGGCATTCTGCGTACAATGTTCATTTTCAGCAGCTATGCATTAGTCTAAAATTCTTTTACCAAAATTAAAATATATCTAACCAGCTTCAGAAGCTGTATCTATTAGCCTTCAATCATTTTTTTGCTTTAAAATTATATAATCTAAAATGCATTAAAATAAGTATGCGTCATCCTATCAGCTTTTTGCTGTCTAAAATTTATTATCATCTATAATATCTAAAACGAAGAAAATTGTATCAATTTGAAATGTTATTAAAATGATCTTGTTCAACTGTGTTTATGAATGTGTTACATCTATATTAACAGGCCTTATATCTGTTGAAATATTGTGGCATTTTCAAAAAATTTGACATTTATAATAAATGATATTATGTTTTCCATCTAAATAATCTGTAAAACCAAATTTAAGTGCACATCAAATAACAGACCGAGCATAAATAATTTGTAGGATAAATTCAATACATAGTGAATTAAATTACATGAACTACCATTTAATTGATTTCTGGAAGCAAATACTGAATTTGTATTTACTTATAAAATATATAAATACAATAGGTTTGTTATTTACTGAATTTTACTAAAAGTTAATTTTTATATAATATATGAAAAAAAAATATTGGAAAGTAAAGCCTACTGCATAAAGCATCAAATATTAACAATCAAATTGTCCACTAAGGTAAAACAGATAAACATATGTTAGACATACACAGTGTGTGTGTGTGTGTGAGTGTGCGCAAGGGGGAGGGAAACACTCTCTCCCACCCTAAAACCTCTTTTCCAGTGAAGAGCAAAGGATGTAATTCAACCAGATATTTTGCATACAATAAGAAAAACCAACATAGCACAACAGGTTGCACATGACTATAGAACACTGTCATACATATTCTTTCAATACATATCAATAATACAGAAACATTCACTGCAACATGTTTTTTTTAAACTAAATTTTTTGGAAGGAATTTCAAGAAATTGCAATTCAAATTGAAAAAAAAAATCATTTTTCCATGAATTTGATACATTTATAGATATGTAGTCAAGTTTTTAATTGATTGTTTATGTGGAAGTATAACTATCACATATTAAATTATACATATCATTTTTTCAATAATCAAATGTAGGTCAAGTTCTACATGCATGCAAAATTTCATAAAAATCTGGGGAAAAAAACATGTATGAATTAGTAGGTATAATTGAAGTTAAACTTTATTGGTTTACGTTTGTATTTTTAGCAGCTTTAAGCATTTTAATCAAGGAAACTTATTTCAATTGAAATATTTTAATTCATTTTAAAAAAAAGTTATGTTTGGTTTTCCATTTTTTTTTTCAGCTTTAGAGAATAAATCTATACTAAAGTATCTTAGCAATCTAGCAAAAAATTGAAATTTTCCTTCAGCCAAAAAATCTTGACTTTCTTTTTCTTATATGCTTGGTTAACATCTAAACAGAAATAACATGACAGACTGATTTGTTTGTATGTTACCTCCATCTAACCTGCAAGTCATATTCAAAAACCAATATTTGTTTACAGAAAAAGTCAACAAACCATTGAACATTTGTTACAACGATGATAGATCTAATTGAAGCATACAATGGAACAATGCCAGTAATCAAAAGTCTTCTCAATAGTGAAATTAAAGGAAAACCAGGAAAGTTGCTCATCAGCTTATAAATCAAACTTTGGTTGCTGTCAGCGTTAAAAGGTATATATGCCATGTAAGGAAGGGCCTGTAGGTAGTGAATTTGATGTACAGGCCATTATGCAATTTAAACAATATGGCATTTTGTGCTTTAATTTAAATTATTTTATTTTTCTCTACATGAACATACCACTTCTTTTTAATGGGAATCTGTAATGCCCAAAGCCAAGCATGTGGCCAGGATGTCTCTTATTTGGGGTCATGAGGCTCAGACTTTAATTGTCAAAATTCAATCTGAATCTCAACTTTAATAATCTTGAATTGTATTTTTTGCTTTTAGGAACAGTGGGAGGTGACATAACCACCCCACCCTCCTTTTTGACTGCAGGTGTTGTACCTGTGATTTGTGTATGTCAAAAGGCAGATTGATCACATGAAATTTTTGCTATCATTGTTAAGACAATTTTCACTTGATGATAATCATATACAGACTCCCACTTAAAGCAGATTATTCCATTAACTCTTGAGTCTACAGAGTTGACATTATTCCAAAGTGCAAATGCTAGGTCACGTGTATTCATATACTATTTTCCATTTGATATGAATGGTAATTCCGGAATCAGAAAACAAAATGGATAAATATGAAAAAAGACCACAAGCCTACATCTAAATCTATACATCATTAAAATAGCCAATATTTTCAAGGTTGTATACAAAGGTACTTAACACAATTAATATATGACTGTTAATGTGGCAGCAGTAAGGCACTAATGTACAAAGTAATATTACAAAATGGTTCATAATGAAAACCATGATGACAATTACGAAGAGAAGACACAACAGTTAATAGAATTATATATGAAAGAAGAGAGTGACATTATCATTAACCTTATCCCCATTCCATGCCAATGTTTTCTTTAATCGAGGTAGCATAAAGTTCAGAATATCCTCCAAGTCGTAGCAAAATATTTGACCGGACTCATGTTATTAATTTATTTGTAATGTTTATCCTTCATTTTGTATATCATAGGGAAAACTTCACTTGCTATTAATAACATTAGAAATAAGTTTCATATGATTCTGGCATTCTTATTGGTTAATAGCCTTAGGAACTGAAGTTTTATGACCAAATAAAACTCACATTTATTGGACACACCTGCATTTACTGGCATTACTTTTTTCCTGTTTTTATGTTTTGTATACACCTGAATACATGTTTGTTTTATAATATTGTGTTTAATTTATTGCTGTCCATTGTTGTTTCGAAAATATGCAATTACAAGATTTTTAATTTATATTTTTTGCAGTTTTATTGGCCTGTCATTGGGTAGATCTTGCATACATTTTTTACATGAAGCGCTTGTGCACGTCATCCAAATGTGCTTCAGGCAAAGCTTTGAATTGCCAATAAAGCTACTTAACTTTATAACATAATACTTCCTAGCATCTGATCAAAAGCTACCTCATAAGCTGTTTCAACACGAGTATGTATCATTCACATGGCTTGTAGCTCTCCTTGGTTAATACATAAATGGTTTGGTTTGATTTAAAAAAAAAAAAATAAGAAGATGCTTTTGACAAAAGTAAAAGAAACTAATGAAATAAACATAAAGATTATCAGTTTCACTGTTTGATTTGACTATAGCAAATTAGTTAATGAAATTGGTAGAAAAAACATTTCCAAGTGGTCAGTTTTATTTTTAAGGTTAATAGAACTCTCTGTAATGACTTTTTTCAGCAAGTAACTCACATTAGCTCATTATGTAGCTAGATCTATTCCACCTTGCAATTTTCCCTAGTAAAGGCTGAAGTGAACTGTACAAGTCTAATGTACACTATCAGGCCACAAAAGCTTTTAAAAAGAAAGAAAAAACACTGACCATTCAAATCAAAAAGTATATGCTTTTTTCTTATTGGAATAAAATGGTAGTTTTTATCAAAATCCCTCCATGTGAGGAAACACAGATATTGTGTATATGTAAATAAGAAAACAATCCAAATGACAACTCAAAAACCAAAAGGTCAACATACAGTTTTGAACAACAGGCTAGAGTTTAT